ACGTCATGTTTGATGACGGGAGAGAAAGGCAAAAGAAATGCATAGACTGGAAGGAGAAATAACTTATGACCTTCATGACCTTATAAGTCAGAAGATGAATGTGTAAAGAAAGCGGTCTCAACGTTTTTCTCGAAAAGACGTGAAAAAAAAAGAATTTTCAGGTATAAAGATCGCGTGAAACTTCAATGACGTTTTAAAACGTCACCGGTCCCCAAAGGGTTAATAGTGGAAAAAAGTTTATTTAAAAGTGATGTAGCTGCTACTCAAGAAGAAACTATTTTTTGATGAAGCTAAGCAATGATATTGGTGACCCTCTATCTCAACAAGCAGATGGGCTCTATTGCTGAAAAATAGTTCGACACGTTGTCGAACATTTTGTTTTAAATAGACAGAAACGAGAAATGAACACTCCCTGATTAATTTTTCTTTAACTGGTTAAGTTCAGCGATTTTGCATTAAACTCATTATAACCGATATTTTTCTTCTGCAGAAAAGTAAATCAACACTTGGACTAAAAGACAAAATTTATTCGCTTTCATTTCGTTCACTAGAGAAAAACATATAATTTAGCTTTATATTAAATTGAATTGTGCAACTGATAATATAAAACGAAAATGTCTTCCATTCTGTGGCCAGAACAGATTTTTCGCTTTCTTTCTCTTTCTGCAAATAAGAGAAAAAGAAAGACGATAGGACGATATTGATATATATCTACACTGTAAATTCGATGAGCCAGTGGAAGAGCTTATGTTCAGCCACTACTCCGACTGAGCCAGCCATTACAGTGGCTGATTTTTCTGTGTAAGTCACTAAGGTGGCTCTGATGTCAGACTGGTGGATGGGGGCTTCACAGGTGGCTTACGTTCGATCAATCGGATCTTTGCACTCACGTACATAGCTTTAAATATGGCTAACATTTTGTAATGGATTCTCCACCATGGCGGGGTAAATTGTGTAGGAACTGAAATTTTTAGAGCGCAAGTGATAAATAGTGTTTTTCAGGCTGTTCAAGACTGTGTTGCGTTTTTAAGACGTATGGGATCAGGCAGCAATCGACTGAAGGCTGCTGAAACATATTTTGGTTACAGTAGTTCCAAAAATGATATGACACGAGTAAGAGAAGAGATGTCTCATAATAAGTCTGTTATATGTTTTACTCTATATTTAGTTAGTTAATCTTTCTCTTAGATTGCATTGCCCAACAACAGATTGGTCAACATCAAATGGAGTTACATGTCCTTTTTGGACAATCTGATCCAATTCGTGAAATTACCAGAAGTTCAAGATGACCTAGGTCGACCAGCACCATCAAATTATCCGGTGACGATGGATGTTACTGATGGCGAATTTGTCCGATTACATTCACTGTTCAAAAATCATGATTTTCTCAAAATAGAACTTAATTCAGGTATAGACTACGTGTTTCGTGTCTTCTTTATCATACATAACGGCTATGTAATTTTTAGATGATCTTAATATCACAAATGCAATATCACATAAAGTTCATAAGTGCTTTTTTTTATACTGGACGTTGCTTAACCTACGACGTGAGCATCGATCTGGCCAAGTTGCCAAACAATTAATAACTGTTTGTGACTCAGCAGCATTAAAATACAATTTATTAGCGCAAATACTTGGTTAGTTGTCCTTTCAAAATCAGTTTTTTCAACAAAATCATGACTGAATATCTTTAATTGTGACTTAGATGATTTTCTTCATGGTGTGACAAAACTGTGTTCGACGGGCATTCGCGTTATGATTAATGGTGTTGAAAAAGTGTACTATGGTGCACTTTTTTTTACTGTCGGCGATTATCTGGCTCAGCAACAATTCCATGGAAGAAAAGAATCAGTGTCAGTCAAAAGGCTTTGTCCTTGTTGTGATGTTAGTTCTGATAATTATATTGACAGTATAGATCAAGTAAGATTTTGGCATTGTCTAACAGTGCAATTTCAAAGTTTAGCTGTTTAGGTTCCCTCCCCCTATAGTATAGAACAGTATGAACAAGCATGCACAATTATTGAAAGCATGACTACCGCGAATAATCCCAGTACGCTTGAATTTTGGCGAAAGTTTTATGGTATAAATGTAAGAAGTATTTTTTACAATTCACTAAATTTTGATCCAACTATTCAAGTATTATTTGATCCAATGCACGTTCTCCTTCAGAGTTAGCACATGGTTAAAGTAATCATTATTGGAAAAAGGTGTTAATTTTTGTGTCATTCTTCAGGAGTGTGTAAATTTCATCTCAACGTTTTCTTGGACTATTGTAGGAGAAATAATGTATTTACAATTGACGAATTTTGCCATGAGGTGAATACATTTGAATATGATATTAACGAGTCGTCATACAAGCCTCATCTGAGTATTAAACTTGAAGATGTAGCCGCACAAATAGGTGGAGGTAATAGTAAATTTAATTCTATCATTTATGCATTTCCTGTATTACTGTTTTCAGGAATGCCTTTGGATGGAGTGCAAGTATATCATCTGTTCATGAATCTTCGAAAATTATTACACAATTCAAGCTTGAAACAATATGAGGCAATTTTATTGATTATTTTTATTTATTACTTGATATCCTTAATTTATACTATTTATCAGAAGTGGACAAAACAACAGTCGATCAACTTCAGCATTGTATTCAACAACACAATACATTAGTAAAAAAACTCTATTTCCGGAGTATCAAGCAGATGTACCATTTTCTACTGCACCTTCCACGGCAAATGCGTCTTTTTGGGCCTTTAAGATACACACAATGCCTCTCATCTGAAAGAAAACATCAGTTTTTTAACGGTGATAATTAAATATGCCTTTATTCTAATTTTTTTCTTGCATCATTTCTCCTTTTAGGAAACAAACATCAAAATTTTAAAAATTTAACAACAACGTTCCAAAAGACATCAAGTATGGCAACATTGTGTTGACTATAATGCTAATGGAAAATTGTCAAGAAGTGTTTTAAAAAATGATACACATTTGCATTATGTTAGTCCCTTATCAGATGAATTGCACGCAGATATTGATGCATGGGGTTTATCACCTGAAACAACACATACAGCAAAAACTTGTAAAATAAATGAAATATGTTATTCAATTGGAACGGTATTATGTACATCTAGTCAATACTTGACACATGCACCGCAATTAGCCCAAATTGTTTACATTTTTATTATTGGTGATAATACAGTTTTTGGTATTCGGTTTTTAAAAACTGTCAACTATGATGAATATCTTAGAGCGTTTAAGGTACAGGGAAGAGAACGTTTTGGGACCATGGCAGCTGCTGATTTAAAGTATGTTTGGTCATTAAAAAATGGTTAACATACATAATACCGGCTATNCCTTTAAAAAACTGATGTTTTCTTTCAGATGAGAGGCATTGTGTGTATCTTAAAGGCCCAAAAAGACGCATTTGCCGTGGAAGGTGCATCCTAGTTTACTGAAAGTAAATTTGTTTTTGAGTGTATTTGTAATTATTGTATAGAATAAAGAATACATACAGAGCGGCACATAATCTTTGCCTCCCCCTCTATAACCTAAAGTATCAATGATATCACAAATGTATTTTATATCAAACTAAAGCGCGTCAAAAACTGAATTTATCGGTACTAAATACTAAAGGTTATGAAGGCCTTTTAATGTCGAACTTACGAAATTTTCAGAAATTCTATACTTTTTGGCGTAGAAAATTAAGATGCCAGTAATTCAAAGATGGAGTAAAACGTTTTTCTTGGAATTTTTACATGGTTCGATAGAGTTCAACGAGCTCTACAAAACTGTATGTATCAGAAAAATTTTGAGCCATCTTTTTTGAAAAAAAAAATTTAAAAACCGGTTGGAAAATCGCAAAAAATGTTAAAAAAACTCATTTTTTCTTGTGGAAGAAGACACTCGATTTTTCAATAAAATTAGCTTTCATTATTTTTTGCTACCTCACACCTTTCGAAATAT